CACATCGCTCTGACCCGGGGACCCGGCCTCTCCCTCGTTTCCACGCCTTATTTCCCACGGAAGTGTTAACAGTGGGATCCTGGCACCGTAACAGCATAGTGGTGTTAGCGGTGGGATACCACGTCCAAAGTGGTAACAGGGGGATGCTGGCCCCATAAAGGCACCCGGTGTCAGCGGGCATGGTTGAATCGTTTGGCGTGAGGCCAGAGGTGTTGTCACATTACGTGTTTGCTCTGGGAGTTTTGGGCCGATGAGGCAGCAGAACCCTAGGTGGGTGGCGTAGGAACCTTGCATCATGCGCCCCGGGATAGTCTGGGCAGGATTAACCTAATTATAGCCCTGACCCCATGCCGAGAGAAGGCGAGACCGACCCCTTTGCACTGCCCACACAGGCTGGAACCCAGCCCAGCCCACACCCCCGGGTATAAAACACCCCTGCCCCGTGCCAGGAGCTGCACATCTGCTGCTGGCTTCCTCCGCTCGCCTACCCAGCCATGGACAGCTCCCTGCACGCCACGCTCGGCCTTCTGCTCGGCTGCTGCCTGTGGGGCGCATGGGGCCACACCAAGATCCACGTTAGCAACGGGGGGATATGGGGCACGTGGGGCGCAGAACAGTCCTGCCCCGGCAACAGCTTCGCCATTGGGTTCTCCCTGAAGGTAAAGATTCACACTCGGCAGCCCGGCTCCCCCCTGCCCCACTCCCTGCCCCCTTCACCCTCCCCCCATCCCCTGCCCCCTTCCCCAGCTCAGCTCCCCCCTGCCCCACTCCCTGCCCCCTTCACCCTCCCACATCCCTGCCCCACTCCCTGCACCCTTCACCCTCCCACATCCCTTCCCCCTTCCCCAGCCCAGCTCCCCCTGCCCCTGCCCTCCTCCCCAACCCCACAGTCCTGAGCCCCTCTGCTCAATTTCCCCCTCCCCACACCCCTCTGGCCCCCATCTCCTTGCACTGAAGTGATGGGGGACCAGTCTCTAATGCCCAGGCTTGTTCCCCCCCAATACCCCGTTGCAGGTGGAGCTGCCCCAGCTCGCCGGGGATGACACGGCGCTGAACGGGATCCGGCTGCTCTGCTCTGACGGCAGCACCATCCAGTCCAACGTGGGGCCGTGAGTACTGTGGGGAGGGGCCCAACGGAGGGTGCGGGCACCTGGCAGAGGGGGCACCAGGCTCCATGCGCACAAGTGGAAAAGGGGTGTCACCAAGAGAGCTGGGGTCGGTGGCAGAGATGGGAGGGTGGCATCAATGGTGGGACGTCAGTGTCAGCAGTGGGTTAGTGGTGGCAGTGGTGGGATCGTGGTATTGGCAGTGGGTTAGTGGTGGCGAAGATGGGATCGCGGTATTGGCAGTGGGTTAGTGGGGGCAGGGGTGGGATCATGGTATTGACAGTGGGTTAGTGGTGGCGGAGATGGGGGGGGGGG